TCTGACATTCTTTTTTAATTTGTCGTACATAGGTATTGTGTATTGTTTCTCCCGAAAGGACTCTGTAGCCATAGCCTCCAGTTTGAAGTTGCATGGTATAAAGGCTGCATGTTACCATGGTGATCTTGACAGCCAGTCTCGTAGTCAAGTGCACAGGGCGTGGACAAGCAATGCAATACAAGTAGGTATTACTATTATCAAATTATCAATTTGATTCTAACAAATTTTAATGTTTGGATTGTCAACCATTCTAATTTCATGTTACCTTTTAACTCCTAAGATCAGATTCCTAATTCTCCTCTTTGCTGCTATAAATTTTCTTGTAAACTGGAATCAAGATGAACCCTCTCCAGTTTATAAGTCTGTTGTCATGTATTCTCATACTTGCAAGCATGATACTGTATTGGCAAAATGAATTTAATGAGAAGTTGCTTGTTAATCACTCCTGGAAGTCAAGGTGAAACAACACAATGATCCTTAGATTTGTACAGTGATTACCATAAAGGCTTAAAGTTATTTGGAAGCCAAATGGCTCCTAATTGCTGAAACTTTATCACTGTTTCTGTAGCATGAATTGACTACAAGTACATTTTCTCCTCCTGGATGGTATGAGTGTCTTTTGCAGGTTATCCCCGTGGAGTGATTTTCTCTCAGCCAACTAAACTAAAAGTAGTCCCTCCTTTTTGGCAATATCCGTCGCATGATTTAAAAAAAATCAGAGAGATGAATATTAATCCTTTAACTCCAAAGACCCAATTGTTAGTTCTCACTTCTAGCTGCCATACATTTCCCTTTGAATTAGTTTGGGGAGTTTGCTGTTGGGTCAAGACAACAACTTCAACCTGATAAGTTTTAGAATTCTCATGAAAGTTTTGTTGTATAATGTATGGATATGATTAGGAGAAGTTACACGTTAATCACTTCTGGAAGTTAAAGGGTTAATGGGGAACTCTAGGCTGACATCATTTTTTCCTTTTCACTGATTTTTTTCCCCTTGTGCAGTGAGCTCAGCCAAAAAATTATGACCGCTTGTAGTCTATTCTCTTATAGCTTGTAGGTACTCATTCATTCTCCTGGGTGGAGAGGTACTGAGAGAGTAAGGCATCGGCCTGCTCAAGAAAACAGCAAAATGGCCTGGCCAGGCTTTGAAAGCAGACCTCTCTATCAAAAGTCTCACATGTCATCTGCCATATTGAGGAGGAACAATGACTTTTTTCTATTATCTTGAGAAAAAGAAGAATTATATTAAGTGATGTTGTTGTTTGTTGTTTTATTTGCTCAGGTTGTGGTAGCTACAGTAGCCTTTGGAATGGGAATTGATAAGCCTGATGTCCGCTTTGTTATACATCACTCCCTTAGCAAATCCATGGAGAACTTTTATCAAGAGAGCGGACGGGCAGGGCGGGATGACAGAGAGTCTCACTGTATTTTGTTCTATCGTCCCTTTGACATGTTTCAACAAAGCACAATGGTCTTCACAGAGCAAACAGGCAAGTTTGTGATTCATTATAAATCAGTTTATTTAGATCATGGGTGATCACTTTGGTTGTTGGGAACTTGTCGTTACTTGCAATTAAGGATTTGAAATCAAGGAGAGGAGCAAGGAGAGCGAAACAGAAAAGGGAGAAGAGTGTGCCAAAATTTTTAAGGTTTGAAGATGGTTAAGATCGCAAAAAGGAAAGAATGACTTACAAGTGACGAACGCAGAAAATTTACAGCTCTTCTTTGCGCTCATGTCGGAATTTTGCTGATTCTCTTGATTTCAGTCGTTCAAACTACGATTTTCTTTTCCTTACCATGATTTTCGAAAGCTTTATTCAAAGCCAAATGCCTTCGATAACTTAGTACATTTATTCAATGACCAAGTACTGTAAAAAAAGTCTGCGCCAACTGGAATTAACTTTAGCAATCTTTTCTAAATCTGTCCGGTTGGTTTAAAATAATTGAAAGGAAAACAACACACGACACTACGTTATTTCCTTTACACAGGTTTGGAGAATCTCTATGGAATGTTGGCCTACTGTCAAGAACAAAAAGTTTGCAGGCGCTCTCTTATTGGACGTCATTTCGGCGAGTCCTGGAACCCAGTTGATTGTCACGAAATGTGCGACAACTGCAAGAAGACTGGGGACCAAACAGACGGTAAAAGAACTTGATTACGTCAAGATACGTTTCGTTGACTCATTTTAACGTCAGCTAACTAGAACAAAGGAAAATATCAAAAGGAGCCAATGAGAACTCAGAGTAAAACCAAAAAGCTACGTAAAAGGCGAGAAAACGCGACTGGCCAAGTCTGTATCGGCTTCGATTTTAAATGATTGGTAGAATTTAAATCTGGTTTTTATAGACCAATCACAAAGCGAAGTAATGCGAAAGGAAAGCAATCCCGGATTAATTTTGATACTCAATTGGAAATTGCTCCATGAGAGGAGAGTTTTCGTGGATTTTCGTAGACAAAAACAGGAGCGCGGTTGACTAAGAGCGTTTTATGTCTTGAAAACGTTGCTTTTAAGATGTTCGTAGTTGTTGCCATCTGTGACGACAAACAGTTTTACCTCAGTGTCAGTTTCCTGTAGTTTGTTGTAAACAGCTGCAGCGTTACTGCTGCACGTCATTGTTCCACAGACTCTTTTTGCACGATGAAACACAGCTTCTGAAAAAACTCTCTTTTTCTGTCCAGGTTCATCTTCAATTGAAGCCCGCGACATCACAAACCACTGTCAAGATATCCTCAAAATTCTCCAGCAAGCAGTCTCTCTTTCGGAACGAGTCACACCTGTGAAACTCGTAGACGCTTGGAACGGGAAAGGACAGGCAAGTCTGCGCGTGCGCGAAATCAAGGCCCCAGATCTTTCGCGGGAAGACTGTGAACGAGTGATAATTCATTTGCTGCTGGAGGGCGTGCTGCGGGAAGACTTTCATTTCACTCCATATTCAACTATTAGCTACGTGCTACCTGGGTCCAAGGCGAGAGTCGTACAATCAGGAACCAAACGGATATTCATGAACCTCAGGACGAATTCCCGTCAGAAAAAGGTTAGTGGATATCTTGTTAAAATCGATGGAAAAACACGACAATTTTTAGTTTGTATTGAAATTTTTCCCTTTTCCAAAACTGGCGTGACTGTTCTCGAAGGAGGAGACTTGGTAAGGGTAAAGTGGTCTCCTTAGCAGTCGCTCTTTGAGATGTCACGCAACGTTTCGCTAAAAGACTACGAGCAGTCCATCGCGCGAGTGAAACAAACATCAATAAAAAATTGATTTAACGCGATGGACTTGACCAAAAGGCAGGGACTGCACGTAGTCTCTTTCGCTTAGAGGTATCCTAAAAAACGGCTCCGAAGCTTAAGGAGACTGAGGAAGATTCTGTTAAGGAAAAATGTTTGGTGAAATTAACTCACTAGACAGAAAGATTTGGCGAGGAATTTTTAAAGCGATTAGTGTATCTAATCGCAAGGACGGTCCCACCGGACGAATAAACAGTGTTCTAACGTAACAGACATTTTCAAACTTTATATAAATCGTCCAGTGCGTCACTTCTGCAACACGATTATGATGGTAAGAAGCGCGCAGTCTTGTTACTCTTGGAACACTTAGCCTGAATCCGGGTTGGAAACAATGACAAATGAATACAGCAACAAGTGTACAATTCACTTTTTCTTTCTTCCTGGAACTCACAGATTAAAAAGAAGACGCGCAAACGTGCTCTGAATTCCTCAAATCTGGATGGAAGAAATGGAACAGTTAGTAAGAAAAACGCTACTGATCCTAACGTTAAGAGCTTCACAAAGACAACCCACAACTCTTCGGACATCGCAGATTACTGCAATGGTGATGACTTTGTTAGTAGTATTAAACGCGCAAAGCTTTCCACACGAGCTAGCCTGGTTGAGTCGGATGACGATGATGAAATAATTTGTCTGGATTAAAATCTTGACAGTTCATCCCAGTATTCCACCTTCCTCAAGTGTTCTGTCGCCATGGGAGCAGGTATTATTAGTTGAAATTGAATGACTGTTTGCTGTCAAGGTTAAACTTAATCCCTCGGTTCCACAGGACTTATTTTATCGGGTCAATTCACTGGTACGTCCTCTCGCTCAAAATTGAATCCATCAGAGATCACATCAACTTTGCAGGGCTCTCAATGAGTTCATTGCCAAGTAACAAGTGAAATGGTTAGGGAGCGTTACAAGGGGACGGCATACCAAGAGTCTACATCGTTGACACTCTTCCAAGCAGAGCCCCGCACGAAGTACAGCAACTGAACACCACTTATCTTGAAGACGACTTTGATTCCAAGATTAAATGTGCTGTTAAAGAGACTCGTTGTTTATTCTAGAATCTCGCAATAATTGCACGATTTGCAACGTTGTAAGAGAGACGACTTGTAAAGGTAATCCGGCCATTAATTTTTTTCGCTTTAATTAGATAATGACAGCTTTTCTATAAATAGCTGGGAGATAAATTAGTAAGGAATAAAAAAATTACTTTATGGAGTAAAGAAACAAAATCCTTAACGAGTTAAAATCTCTTGATTCAAAATTTAACAGTTCTAACAGTTTTCATATCGTAGCAGGTCCATACCCGTGTGGGATCCTGATCTTATCTCTTCTCGAAGTACAAATCTCTGAGGCCCCGGTCCCTCCAGGTGCAAGCTATAAGAGGGCTCATTTTATAAGGTAGTCCGTGATTGGTCGTACAGCTACAGCCGTTCTCTTCTACAAGTTTTCCACATAATGGACATCTAATTGAAACTCTTTGTCTGAGTAAGCTACTGCTGTCCGCACTTTTCAATATGAAAGGAAAAAATTGTCAAACAAACTTTAATTCTCCAATGAAAGTTTTGTAGTAACCAGTCCTGATTTATCGCTGGGAGAGGCGGGAGGTGGGGAGGTGGATTTTGTCTAATCCCCCCTCCGTTCTCCCTGAAACCATGAGCTCCCCCCTAAAATAATTCTCCAACCTCCCCCGCCCCCTTCCCCCTTGCAGAAATTACTGACTGGTCCTTACGATTGAATATTACCTGGTTATTGCTGACTGCTCTTTTCGAGGGATTACAAAACGCTCCACTCTTAGAACTGTACCAATTCCATCCATGTAATATTCTCGATGACTCTGAGCAAGCTTGATCGAAAATAGAACAAACAAACAAACTATCAGATACGATTATGGCTCCTGTATTGAGTTGGAGAACTTATTTACAGGTAACTTCAGGAACCTGACCTTAGAGTAAAATCACTTTAATTGAAAGGACCAGCGTATCGTTCATATTAGAGACGCCGACTTAATTTTGCTAATGCCATATTTCATGTATTTTTTTTTTCGCTTAATTTTACGAGTAGTCTTCCTGCTTCGATTTTACAGTTCCAAATTAAAAAAGGGTGTGATCTTATCGGCTCAGTCAACCTATATTTGAACTAAGCTCGACCTTTCAAGGGGCCTTATGTGCCTTACTGCACTGGAAGAACTTTGCACTGTAACCGTATTAGCGAGCAAGCCTCGCGGTTTGTTAATGTTGTCCTATGTGCCTTATGACAAAAAGCATTGATAATCCATCACACTTTGAGGCACATTGGTGTAAGTATCGTGCACTCAGTTTGGCGCGCGTAAAGCGTTAACGCGCGATGAAGCGCTCCTCTTCTGTTGTGTTTGCTGCTAAAGCGCGACGCTCACTCTAGATGCGCTCAAGTTATCCGAAGTAAATACCTGGTCAAATTCCTTGACTTCTCGTCCTCTTTCGTGTTCATTAAACAGAGAGTATTTCTTGGCATTGCGCCATCGTTCTCTCGTTCTCGTTCGAGCAGCGAGGACCAAGTTGGGCGTGCTGGAGTAAACAGTTGGAAATTCAGGTCTGCCATCACCGTATGTTCCTGGTTGTGTCGCCTTACTACTGTTCAGCTTAGCTGTCCTTCTGTCCTGGAAACACTTCGCTGTGGTGTTACCGAATGTGTCGCCGTAATGCCAGAACTTGGCTTGGGGACAATAGCCTGCATAGCTAAATGAAAACAAAGGTGCATTTTGGTATTGTTGAAAATTAAGCCTAACTGTTCTTAGTTCATCTCGTCAAATAAATTTCTGATTACGTTTCTTACCCTGGCACATGTCTTGGGTTTTGGAAAGTGGCCCGGTTTGTTGTGTTAAATGGGGAAAGCATTATAAGAACTAAGGTTGAGTGAACGAGGAAGTTTATAGTATTACTATTACGTCACAAACACTTCATGACGCAACAAAGTAATGAAACCTCTCCCACACCTTTCCATTTTGTGGTGAAATTGAGCGTATTTAAAATATAAATTCCGTGCATATCAAATTTGGTTGAAACTGGTCAATTTGTTGGTTTTAGTCTCTAGAGAACGTGAGCAGCTGATATCCCTTAACTAAACCAAAAAATTCTTTTAGGACACCGTTTGCGACCTCTTGCGCGACCTCCACGCTCTTGGGAGTTGGCCGAGTTAGCACTGGTATCTAAATTCCTCGACCCAATCCCCCAACGAACAAAAGGCGGTTGTTTTTGAAAGAGTTAGTGCTGAACTCAGAGGAAACGAAGCTTTAAAACCACCCTTTATGGAACGAGTTTAGCTTTCATGTCTCACTAAAGAAGAAATTCTCTGTTTCCCAGTTGTGGAAACATAAATACTGAATAGTTAAAAGCTACGAAAAGACGTGAACAGCCAAATAATTACCTTCGCGCCGAAAAGGAAACAAACATGGCGAGTGATGCTAGTGATGACAAGCGTGTTTCGCAAGTAACTTGTTACGATCGCTACGGCTTTGCAGTGTATGATACAAGTTCTGAATTTGCAGTTGATGACTGTAGAACCCACGAATACAGGTGAGATCGTGGTCATTTCTCACGTTATTGTAGCGCCTTCAATGTAGGTCTCTAACTTTAAATTTCGTGAACTTAACAATTTTGCTGTCGAGTAGCCATACCAGACGGGGCTTCTTTGTTTATACAAACGCTTGATATAAAATCAAAAAATGCGTTAATACTCTGTCGTATATATGGTTGCTTTGCATTCATGTATTGACGTGTTTAGTTACAAAGATTGATCATGAAAGACTGCTGATTATATACATGTATCCTCTGATCAAAAGCTGGTTGTCATTACAATCTACAGCTGAAGAATTGAGACCACTCTTCGGTGCTGTAGTCCAGACACATGTTTGTATCTATGTGTTAGACAAAGTTCCTTTACTTTCGACCAAATGTTTTTCCATTTGTAAACTAGACAACATTCAGATGCTGAAAGTTCCAAAGTTAGACAATTTTGGACAAAGACGCTCTCAAACTGGGAGGAAAATCAGCTCTTTTCTCCTAAACGGGTAAGCAAAAATTTTTGTGTCAAAATAGACATGAATAAAAGCATTATAAACAATTTTGCAACTGACTCTTGGTTGCTGTCTCAGTTCAGATGTTGATCAACAAGCAGAAAATAGCAATGTCAACTCTGAATAGGTTCTTTGTTGCTGTGCATCTGTTAAGTAATAGATTACAGATGATGTCAAAATGTGGCAAGAACAAAGAAGTTGCATGCAAGTCACAGCTTAGTGTGTCACTGATACAAATGTATACTTATTGCATAATGACACCTTCTGTGATCTATCATGGTAACATAGAATCTACTTGTTTTAATGCGATAAAAAAGCAAAAAAATTGTTAACCCTTTAACTACCCGATCAAATTTGTAATTCTCCTTACAGTCAACCATACAAGTCTTATTATGTCAGTTCAGAGAATTTAGTTTTGGATCAACTAATTATCCCCAAATTGATATTTTTCTTTCTCCTCATCACTTATTTTGTTGATATTGTATTGATGTTGCCAGGAGAAATTCTGTCTTGGTCACTCATGAGAGTTAAAGGTTTAATGGTCATGTGGTCTGTGCATCTGTTCTCCAATAGATTTTAACCTTTTAATCCTCAAGAGTGACTAGCATCTAATTTCTCCTTACAATATCACCCTTGAATCAAACATTAAGGTCATGAGAATAGAAGAAATGATCACCAACTAAAGCAGCTCTTGATTATTAAACAAATTCTCCTTGTCAGGACCTTAGGAAATGTATAGTGAATAGTATGGAGAATATCGATACTGATGTTAGGGAGTAAAGGGTTAAGTAAGAACCAATCAAAATGCATGGGTAATTCAGCTTATTGCAAAACAACAATTTGTGAGAGTGTTAGTTGATAATCTTCCAGCTGTTGGTTGACATCTGGTCAACTGTCACACAACTATTGATCAACAGTTGAGAGATGATCAACCAACTGTTGACAGATACATTAAATCAAAATCAACGTGTTCATTAATCTGACCTCTGAGCTTATGATTTGGTTCTTCAATCTATCTGTAGTTCTAGTTAAACCAAGGACAGTTAGTCCTTAGTAGAGGTACCTTGTACACACTGTAACTATAGCCACAGTATGGTTCTTTGATCAAGGGAGTCCTACATGATCATAATAATGTCATGGAGTATACATGTGTATTACACAGGTTCGGTGCTTCATTAAGCAAGGTGTACCTGATGACATGAGAGGAAAGATTTGGAACAAAATGGTTGGAAGCCAAGCAATCAAGGCTACCTCTTTATTTGATTACCAGGTAATCATAAGTACAGTTAATATCAGTTTTTTTTATTGGCATAACAGTAATGATAGTGTGACTAATGGTGCTGTGAAAATGTTACAGTTCCTGTGCATCAAGAAAAATTTAAGTTTCCAAGTTGAGCATTTGTAACCCATATTAATTCTCTAAGTTCTTATACATGCAAAGTTTGTTCTTTCTCAGCTAACTACACATGACATTTTGTATCTATGGTGTTTTACTTTTTACCAAACTAATTTTTAAAGTTCTATAATTTCTTAGGCCTGCTTAGCGGAGATACGCCAACTTCTTGTCGACTTGGGAGTCAGTGAATATGGAGGGACAAACTGTATTTCAAGACTAGGGCAAATTGTTGGTGAGATTACAATCTGATATTCCAGTTGTAATTAACTACATGTACATGTATAATGCAGTCAAAAGTGATTTCTATCCTCTAGATTCAATGCTATGGAATCATTAACTGTGAATTGCCTCTTTAAAAGGCTTCTTCTTGATTTGTATTAATTTTTAAAGTTGACTTGATGCTTCAATTCCAAGTTAATGATCTTAGTATTCCAAAATAGTGACAACTTTTTACTCTTTACTGTTTGTGATAATCAGCTGTCTTTGCTTTGATGGTAGCTTCAATGATTTTGAAGCAGTTTAGCTTGAAAGGAAACAATAAGAGCTGATATGGCATGGAGACAAAAGAATATATTATTTTTAGGATATACAAAAGTCAAGGCTTTAGTTTGTATTCCAGTCGCTAGATAGATAGTTATTACACTTATTATACCTCATTTTCATTGGAGTGGCAAGGCCTTTTTCCTGTACAAGCTATTTTTCATGGAGTCAATGCCATTTACATGTACATTGTAATTCTCATTTGTGTTGTAGCGTCACTGGTCAACAGCAACAAGGAAAATCTTATAGATAGCCCTAACACTGTCATCATGACAAGACAGTGGAAAAGGAATCTTCATAAGCAGATATCAGTTTTCAGACAAATCATGTTGGATATAGGTAGGTGAATGTAATAGTTTGTAATATTTCCCTTGTGCAGTATACCTTTCAAAGTTTAATTGCACCTATCCGAAAATTGGAAATGAACTTTGATTTCTTTGACAGGGTGTGAATTAAAAATACTCATACCAATCTGTGTGCTTTTGTTTGCCTCATTAAGTGCCCAAAGCAATCCCAAAATTCCATCCCACACGTACTGTGCTTTATCACTTCCACTTTTCCTTTCTCAAACAAATAAATCAAGGTTCACATAACTGTACTTGTAGTTATAAGGAAAGTGAAAATAAACTGATGATTGCAGAAAAGTTTGATTCAAATAGTAAGTGCCTATAGGCTTTAAATTCTTACCAGTCTAGTAATTTGAATTATACAGATGTGCTACAATGTATTCTTAAATGGATTCAACGTGCCTAACAGTGACTGTAATATTCATTATTTAGACAGATCTTTCCCAAGTCATAAGATGTTCATAGAAGGGACAAGTGAAGGAAAAGAGGGAAGAGCAACTCTCTTTAGAGTTCTGGCAGTGTATGCAATGTATAATCCTCAAGTGTCATATTGCCAAGGTAAACCTCAGCCTGTTGTCCACTTTTGGGCAAATGCTATTTACTATTCGTACTTGTCATATTGCCAAGGTAAACCTCACCCTATTTTCCCTTTGGGCAAATGCCATTAGCTAACTGGTGCTTGTTTTACCTTCTAATCTTAGTTTCTAACAAACATTTTTTTTCCTATTGATAATTTTCACAGGCATGTCCTATATTGCAGGAATGTTTCTTATGAACATGGATGAGGAGGTAGGTTTATTTGATGTTTGACTCTTCTCTCAATAACTAGTCTCCTTAAAATAGTTATTTAACAAGCACAAACAGGATATTAGGGATTGCTAGATTAAGCCAATAAGGGGTGGAATAAAAGTCATTTTGAATCATATTTTCTAAATAAATTTCCCATAAACCAATAAAAACCCTCACACTACAGGACTCCAGTAATCTAGTATGTAAAATAGAATAATCCACTCCACAACCAACATCTGGATGGAACATGTACTCTTCAATGCATTTGTCACTGAACAACTTTTCCTTAAAATGAAGACAATTTGAAAGAAAAAATGACAGAAATTCATTTTTTTAATTTTATGATTAAGAAAAAATTTAATTATTTTTCAGAATTTTAATTTTTTTTGTAATTGAAAAAACAGCATTTCTGTATATGATTTTGAACTATCATTAATTTACTGAAACACTCAACTGTTTTTTGCAGTACAGTGATATACTTGATTTTCTTAAAAGTATCTTTATACAATTTCTTTCAGGATTCCTTTTGGTGTTTGGTTTCTATGTTTGAGAGACCAAAGTACTTAGCCGGCTATTTTAATGATTCACTTGGAAAGTAAGTTCCTTGACAGTAACACCAAGAGAAAGCTTAGTTTTGCAATTGACTGTTTTGTCCTGACTGTGTCCTTTTTTTGATGAACTTTGCTTTCCTCCACTCTGTGATTCAACCAACTCATCAGATTCATCAGATGATGATAAAACCTTCTTTTCCTTTTTTGCAAACAAGTTTCCTTACAAGTTACTTTCTTTTATTCGACTTGCATTCCCAATGACTGATTTTATTTACCTGTAACACTATTAAGCCTCACTCTTTTCACCTGAAGAGTAACACCAATAAAACACGTAACAAAACAATGCAAAAAAAGTTGATTGTGTGGCATAACTAACTTCCCTGTAGATACACACTGCATAATAACTAGATGTCATACAATGTAGCAGTCTGAAATTTATTGCTTCTATGTCGTATCTTTAGGATACAAAGACATGCATCAGTTTTTGAGAGACTTATGCGACAGAGACGAACCAAGCTATACAAACACCTGGTAGAGTCTTTTTATTATTTTTTTCCAGTTGTCTAGTTGTACACTTCCATTTACACCTTCTTAGGGTTAGGGTGATAAAACTGACCTGATGGTGTTCTCTTACAGCAGTTTTGAATAGAAGGTTCACAATTGATTCCTAACAGCTTAGCAATAGGCCCCTCCATTTGAGTACATCTTAAGGATTTCTAAGGCAGACAGATCAGCAACCCCCAGGGGTGACTAAAAGTGATTACATGTCAATTGAAATTTTAAGAATGGAGGGGCATGTCAAAAATTAGTCATCAATGTCATTTATAAGATACTTACATATTATATGTAGCAACAATGGCCTAATATGTTAAGTTATTGATACAAGACCATCTTTTGTGAGATTTACTATAATTATGAAAATCTACAGGTTTTGAAATTCAAAGCCTTCTTTGGGAAAACAGTGTTAGTAGTGCACATTTAAGACCTCTTTTTCTGGCAGCAAATAGTGATGTTCAAATCTGAATTCTAGGAGGTGCAAGGTGTGTCGCCTCTCATGTACCTGACACCATGGTTCATGGCCTTGTTTACATCTCTCCCATGCTGGGATGCTGTGCTCACCATTTGGGATTTGCTTCTCTTGGAAGGTATGATGCTATGGTTGTGATAAACAAGGTTTACTATGTGAGTAACCCTTTACTTCCTAACATCAGTATGCATATTCTCCATACTGTTCTCTACACATTTCCTAATGTGCTGACAAGGAGAATTTGTTTTACAATCCAGAGCTTCTTTAGTTGGTGATCATTTCCTTCATTCTCATGACCTTAATTTGTGACTGCAAGGGAGAAATTGTAGGGAGAAAGTAAATGCTAATCATTCTTAAAAAGAGAGGATTGTTAACACTATGCCTCCATTGAATACAATCATTGCGTATGGGTTGATTTTATCTGGTGTTCCAATTTTCCAAGTAAAGAAAAAAAATTAAACCAGAGACAGAATCAAACCACAATATGAACATAACAAAAGATGTAAAAATTAACAGCTTGTCCATTTGGCAGTTTCTTTGGATGCATTTAGCTCAGCTGAATTTATTTCTAGTAGTCATCTGTTATTTCAGGCATGTCCATTATCTTCCAAGTTGCCCTTGCACTTCTGGATGTCTTGTCAGGTTTGCTATTTTGTTTGATTTTTGATAATGTTGTTATTGGTGTTATTGGTGTGGCAGTTCATTTATGGATTACATCTTTTAGTTGTACATTGAAGTAGCTCCTTTTCTTTCTCTTTTCTTTGTGATATATCATTGGTAATGTGCAATATGTCAGAGAGAATCCATATATGTATGTCTTATTAACCAATTTTGTGGACCACTCTGGAGAATGCAGAATGTAAGACTTACATGTACGTCTTCATTATTTGGAATTGCAGTTGAGATTCTTCCATTGAAGGAAATAGCACAAGTTCTGCCAATATTACTGCATCCTTCAGCAAGTTTGTAAGTCAATTAAAATCTATGAAATGCTCTCTTATTGAACATAATGCAGCTGAACCTTGAAACAAATGCCACCGTAATAACAAAGGAGAGAAGCTATGATAAAGAGGTTGCTGTCATAGGGAAGTGAGGGTATAGTATGGTGAAGTCTGTTCTTGTGAGCCATGTGACCCATCCACCTGAGCTTGTACTGGTTTCCTGCTCCCTCTTGGATGGGATGCCTGTTCATCAGGGTTACCTCCTGGCAATTCATCAGGCTTCCCTGGGAATTGGCTGGTACCTATTTATACTCCTGGGTGAAGAGGGGCACTGTGAGAATAAAGTGTCTTGTCCAAGCACACAACACAATGACCTGGCCAGCTATTGAACCCAGACCTTTCATCGCAGATTCTGGCTCACCTACTATTAGGCAACTGTCTCTCAGACCAATAAAAAGACACCAGAAATGAATGCTAAAATGAGGAGTGTTAATAAAACCAAACAGTCTTTGGTCAAGTTTGTTAACTTTTATTTTCTCTTACATGAAAAAGAGCTGTTAAGGATTGTTTGCTTGAGTGAGCTGTCTCACATTTTGCTGACAAGATCTTCATTTATTGTTTAACCCTTTAATCCATACAGTACCACTCCTGAATCAAACATGTAAGGTATGGGAATTCCCACTAAAGAAGCTCCTGATTGTCAAACAAATTCTCCCTGTGGGTACCATAGAATTTGTTGAGCCAATAATATAGAGAATATACATGTTGATGTAAGGCTGTAATTGGTTAACCCTTTAACTCCCAGATCAAATTTGTAATTCTCCTTACTGTCAACCATACAATTCTTAGGATGTTAGTTCAGAGAATTTAGTATTGGGCAAACTAATTATCCGCAAATGGACATTTTTCTTTATTCTCGTCACTTAACTGGGTGACATTGTATTGATATTGTAAGGAGAAATTCTGTCTTGGTCACTCATGGGAGTTAAAGGGTAATTAACTATGGATGAGGTGTTTAGGGTACATTAATCTGAGTCCAGTTTTATCACCTCAACAGGATCACTCGTGAAAAGCTGGTTGCCGCAATTTGGAAAGTGAAGCCAATTTTAAGATGGGAAATTGACTCAATTCAAGCCATACTTTATGAGGAAGAGGCCGGTTGCAAAGGTATTGTGTTTATTGTACTCGTTGTATACCTTTGGAGCTGATGTAAGACTTTTAAGTAATCTTATTCGCTGATGACCCCCCTTATAACTTGTACCTAGCACAAAGAACCTCAGCTGAAACTGTAGTTTTTAGAACACCAAGAAGCATCTTTGCGTACCAAAGCGGGACTGTTCTTGTATCATGGCTTAATCTAATTGCCATCTTACCATTCTCTAGGGTTTACGACACACAATACAATATTTTTATACTTGGTTTAAGAGTTTTTCCTGAAAGGTCTCCAAGAACCTCAGCTGAAACTGTAGTTTTTAGAACACCAACAAGCATCTTTGCGTACCAAAGCGGGACTGTTCTTGTATCATGGCTTAATCTGATTGCCATCCTACCATTCTCCAGGGTTTACGACACACAATACAGCTCACGCCTACTTAAGCAAATTCCACGCGCGAAACACGCAAATCTCTCGCATACGAATGCGTGAAGATTACACGCAATCTTCCAACTGTGACTACTGTAATCAAGTACAGTTCGTGTTTTGCAAAATGTCAACGACTTGTTTTCCTGCTAATTTTTCTTCTTTTACCATGCACTCCTCTCCATGTACATGTTTGTTTACATACATGTTTGTGTAGTAAAATTTGGACCGGAAGATTGATTTAGATACAAGTCTTCTATTCTATGCCTCTGGTTGTTCAGTACCAGACCAAGGAATCATTTGCAACATTACGCGCGTGTAACGAGCAAATGCGTGTTATTACTTGCGCGGAGGTATTTATTCGCTCTTATACCTTGTCTTGGTAGCAAATACAACAAGGGGTAACAAGAGAAGTTTGAACAATCAGAATGAGGACGACAACAGGAAAAGACAACGAACCTTCAGCAATCAATCCCCTCAAGGTAGAATAAAAAAGGCTTTTAAAAGATTGGGAGAACGATTGTTTCTAAATATACATGTATCATATTTTCATGTTTGTTGCTGTTTTCACTCTTCATGTAGCACCAGCTGAACCGTCCTTTTTCCAGCGTTTTATTGGATTTTTTTCTTCGAACGATGAATCAGAGGCCAAATTTACCACTAACGACATCGAGATGACCACATTTTCAGTTGTCAGCGGGCAAAGTCCAAGTGTGCTCACGCCCTCGTTATGCTGTTCAGCAGCAGGAGCCTTGAAGACACAGCATGGAAGAGGTTTGTGTTATTGGCACTCGAGAAACTGCGCATGTCACGAGATAGCTTGTAAATTCATGGCAAATCTGTTGCAAAGCTATACTTAGCAGTGCTTTTGAAAAATATAAAAGTGGTGACATTAAACCCACAACAAGGGTCTTTTTCTAACCTCAAGAAGACAACCAACTCTGAAGGTTGCATACGTTTTTCAGCTCTGTCCAGGCAGAAGAGTAACGTCACATTGATGTAGCCTCTCCAACCAGGAATTCCGCATTACAATCAACTTTTCTTTAAATAACTTACAATATCCCCATCTTGTTCCCCTAGTGAGCGGTCTTAGGAAGCCCGTGGGTCAGCACAAACGTCATAATCGTTACAATAAGGTATCCCGCAGAAGATCTAACAATGGAAAAGATGTGCTTAGAAAACGTCACGTGGTTTTCCAAGGCAGTCTGGGGAGTCCTGTAAGGAGAAGTCCGCGCTTCGCGGGACAGCGAACCCCTGTGGGGACTGTGGTGAGTAAACAGCAGTAAAACTGAAGGAATTATGGAACGCAGCGAAAAGATATCCTTGATGTGAATAGTCAGTTGGATGAAATTAATTGGAAGGGTGCATTGTTCCTAATTTTTAAAATTCCAAGATATGATTAATGATTAACGCTTCCTAAAACATTCACAAATTATCCAGGAAACATATTCTTACAAAAAAACTTGAAATATAACTACTATCAATGGAAGCAAAAAAACTTCCGGCACATCCAGCACGCGTAATTTTAAAAGACGTGTACCGCTTTAGCTATATACTTTTTGTTGTGCTTTTTCGTTTTTTAACAGCACTTTTTTTTAGCTTTGCCGGTATTCCTATCTTGTGATCAGTTTTTATTCACCACAAACTACATCAGTTATTGCCGGATAGAAACATCTCAAAATACATTTTAAGGAGGCCACGCGTTTCAAACGTATTGCGACTCGCACAGACCGTTTTGAAAATACCTTCATTTTCGATATGGCAAGCAACTTGTGAATGTATTTACAACATTTAAGCCTATAGTATTTTATATTATATGTAAATCATAGATCCTAGCATTATTGTAAATCATTATTATCAAACTTTTTACCTTCATTTGAATTGTATTTTGACGCAATTTAGTCTGCGACTCCGATGTAACCATCCAAATAAAGCTATTATGTTCTATTCTATTCGTGAAGTAGATTACCATGACCTTGGTAAGTTTAGGTTCCATATTGGTAACGTCTTCATCTTTTGTCTGTATTCTTTTTTTGAAGGCAAAGGTCCAGTCTCCCAACAGTCTGGTGCGAAGGTAAGTGAAACAATTTAAAGTAATATCATATGGTGCAACCTCTTTTCAAAGGGCGTGCACCCTCGTGAAGGCATTTTTTTTTTTTCATGGTGCCTCTCTCTACCCAGGAGCGTATAGGGGTAGGAACATATTATCAGGAAAACCTGATGAAATGCTGGGAGGGGGTTAACATCCTATTTTCTGATATCCCATACTAGGGAGCAGCAATATCCCTCGTCGCTTCATGCTACAGAGCAATTTTCAAGCAAGTGTCGAAAGTAATCCAAGATTGTATTGGTTGTACTTTACTTCGATCTGTGATTGGGCCAGAAAACTTACGCCACCCTCTCAACCAATCAGAAGCAAAACTAAAACCAACCATGGGCTGGTCACGTGAAACACTGCGCTTCAGGCAGTTTGCTTGTTTTGACTTTGAGTTCGAACTGGCTACTTAGAGAGAGCATTATAATGCTCTCCTTTGTTGTGACTGATCTTCGTGATTACTTTGTGTTTGGTTAACGACACTCAATCAAAGAGCCACTAGATTTGTACAACGTACTTTTACCTTTGCTTGGTTTTTTTAAACAAGCAACCAGTTGTATTTTAGTAAATTTTCCTCGTTAGCTGGGAAAAAGGCGCCATTTAGAGCAAGAAATGGTGCGATTCGTGAATAAAACGCACCAATGAGAGCTAATCAGATTACAAGGATCACCAGTGATTCTAAAATGGATGTAATAAACCATTAATAACTTTGCATTTGTTGTATTCAACGATCTTTAGCTCTGCCACAAATCAACACGCCTTCAAGCAGTTCAATACTCCTACCCCTCTCAGACGCTCTCAGGTATGAGTACATTTGCATCTTTTTCGTCCTTCAGCTGTATTTTCATTGATACACGTAAAGAAAAAGTCAAATGCGTGAGGAACGTTGTGGTTCATTAGTTTACGCGCTGGATTTCGAACCGAACGATCTGGGTTCGAGTCCTGGTAGGAATGACTTTGTTGTGGTCCTCTCAACTCAAGAGTGTAAATTATGCAACCGGTCCAAACCAATCATCAGGGAGATGTGATAATCTGATGGCTTGCAGTGGACTGATAGACATCTTTTTTTTGTCACCAATCATCTGAAAGTGAACAATTCCTCAAAATTCCCCTAAATTGACTCGATCATTGATCTTTCTCTATCGAAAACTTAAGGATCAGGTCGGATTGAGTTTCAGGACAATTCAGTTGAGCTTCGGGAATACTGCAATCAAACTTGAGAAAAATATTTCCATTTAATTTTGCAGGTTAAACCCCTTTTTCAACATTCCCCGTCAACTTTTGAATTATCTCCAAAGATACTGACGTCACCTGACCTCTTGATGTCACCGGATTTGGAAATGACGTCATTTGAATGTAAGGAGAAGAGACTGGACTTTACGTAGGGATTATTGGCTTAGTATTACATGGATTTACTCTAGAGAAGTCAAGATTGAAGTGGATCATCACAAGTTTGTTGACGATGAGTACAAGATGTGATTGTTTGGCGCGCATAATAAACTACGTACATTTAAGAGCAGCTACAGTGCATTGTAAGCCTTATTCTGTCGATCTTTGTTGTCCCTTGAGGAGAAATGTGGACTTCCTGCGTGTGACATAGCTTTAAAAATTTCAGAGGAGGTCGCAAGCTGTTTTTACTCGCTAAGAAGTCTTGACAAAATTGAAAACGTTGGGTCATTTTCAAACCATTTTCAACTGAGTCTCGAAGGTGATCCGGAATTCATTCACCACTTCCTTTGTTCTAATCGGCTGGCTGTGATAACTTTGGGCTTGGCTTTATGACACTCAAAAATGATCCTCTGGTCGTGATAACATGATTATAATTGAATGGTTTATAACTGAAAAACCTTTTATTTACATGAAAGAAATTTTTATGTATTGCTTTCAATGGGTCGTTGCTAGAATGAGTTTCAGAGCTGCCTTAACCTGACATGTTACCTCACTAACTTTCCTCAATAAGTGTGGTTTCCAGACTTTTTCGCTTTTTACAGTTCGTTGACTTCAGTTGCGAGAAAGTTCTCGCAAATTCTGACTAGTCATCGTTACTATTAGCAACCATTCCTGTCGCCATGGCATCCGCCAAAATGTCGAATGTCAGCTCCCAGGCTTTGCGGCATTCATCAGTGAAGAGCTCTCGTAATTCTTGGGAAAGTGTGAACAGCAATGCTTGTTTCACTACCTGTCAATAACAAATAAAATTTAACATTATGAACCAAAATACATAAGCAACAATCTAAAGATAGGTTTCCGAAAGCGTCAGTTCCAACTCGTATCTTTTTCGTCAGAAATACTTTTCCCTTCGGTCCCGACTCTTAAAGATATGCTCATTATTCTTTCATTGTATTTTTTTACATACCTTAAAACACATTTCCTCTTTATATTTAAAAAGGAAAAGTCCGTGTTGCTTATGAATAATTTTCGTATAGCTCAGTTAAGATATGTTCCAATTCCTTAAAAATACGCTCCCTTACCTTAGTAATATTTTCCACTTTAAAACTGCCATTAGTATACCTAACATAAAACGTTTTATCCACGAGACCTCACTAACCTCACTACACGTTTTGCATGTGCTTAGACTTGTTTTCTTTACCTTTCTTTCATGTTTTGTACATAAAGCTGAAATATGCGTTTCCTGTCCATTTGTAATTAATTTATATTGAAGACAGGTTTTCACTGGCAGCTCATCACGATATAGGAGCCTGCGATACTTACGTTAAGCTGCTGTCTTTTTATTCCCATGTTGGCATGAATTGTTCCTAGTCTCTCCAGAGTAGGTAGTAAAGGGGTTAGGTCGTCTAGATTTTGTAAAGCTTTATCTAAGGTACTGATAACTGACGTGATATGACCTTGGAATTCGTCGCTCTCTAAGTCGGAGCTGGAGAAATAGTCCTGGGCTTCGGGAGCGATTTGAAATATCCTAAAAATTGCAAAAGAAGTTAACAAAAGCAACCTAAACACTGGCTGTGAGAAGCGTAGTCAGATGTCTAAAGTATAATGTAGTGTTTTTAAAAAATTTAAATCTAAGGGCACAACGTCTCCCTAAGCTGTCAAGAAAATCGAAGGCTTAGCAAAACCGGAGGAGTGAGGAACATTCACTGCGATGGAAATAAAGGGGAAAGTAAAGCTCAGCATTGATAAACACGGGCGAACAGAAGAGGTTTGAGCGGTTTTGTAAACACTCCGGAGTGCCAAGTCATTACTTGCTGTTAACATGTTGCAGCTCCGTTTTTTGACCTCCGAAAATCATCAACTTGTTTTAAAACCGATAAAGAAACGTCTGGAAAACAGAACTAGAGCATTATCTGCGCAATCTGTAAACGTTCATCTGTCGAAGGTCAAGTGTTTTCGAGAGGCTATATCTTATTTGTTTACTATAAAAACTGTTTCTTTCTGTTTTCCATTATTTTCATTTTCAAACGTGGAAATCTGAACAGCGTTTGTCTGGTTTATAAGTTAGTTGATGAAATTCACTTTACACGAGTGCAAGTACCGCACATGTGGACAGTACACTGCGAGAATCAATTAACAACTTGTTGAAGGCGTGAAACTGTACACCTTGTTTAAAATTCAAGACCCCGGAAACCATACCTTATATTGACGGTACACAGGCATTTAGGCCAAAATGGGAAGTTCTCCTCGGGATAAGGCGTCACAGAAACGTTATCAATTAATAACGCCTGATTGCTTAAGTTCTTAAGGGAGCAGTCGGAAGCCTGAGAATAAACTTTGTTTGTGGAGAAGAATGTCGATCAGTGCGAAAGTTTTCTATGAATGTCACGTGAAAGCATCTTCCTAGCTTCTCGCACAGGGCAATAAGCATTGTGAGTGGCGAGTCAAAGCCAGTCAGTCAGGCGTTAAATTGCTTACAGGCATTGAATCCATTCATAATTTACATATAACGTGACACTGAAAATTCGATCCGTCACAACAATCTGATTCTTTGGTGATCATTCAAAAATTACTTTTCACTTGTAGGATAATAAGAAATATCAGTTTGTTTAGATGGAACAGCATTGAATTTGAAAGAGTGAAGCAGAGAGTAGGACGCACCGTTAAAAGATAAAAAAAAGATTGACGTGGATTGGAGATAATAAGCTTGAAACATGTGGCTCTGATTTTTCAAAATGCTCAACCGACTGACCGTGTCCTATATCTGCATCAAAGCCGGTCGGCGCACAATACTCGCCTTTTGAACAATTTTTGTCCGGCCTCTCTTTCTGGCTTTGTCGCTTCCCTCCACGTGTCCCTGACGAGAACTTTATCATCTTCACTGAGTGCTTTTGACGAGGGAGTCAGATTGCTGCCGGTTGCGCTGTCCATAGCTTCTCGAGTTATCTTCTGCTCTCTAAGGGTAAAAGAGACTGATTGTTTACGCGCCTTTCCTAGATGGAGTCTGGCAATTGTTTGATAGAGGTCTGGGATCGAGTTCATTTAGATGACTTTGCTCTCAAAGCTCTTAGCACGAACAATATTTTAAATCTTAGCAAAATTGTGTCAAAAAAAGAAAAAAAAATATGCGAAATGGATAAAAATTATGGCTTTCATAATATTAATGATAGCGAGTCCTCATTAAAAGAGGAATGAAACTTTTGATCACATTTACGAAAGGCTGGAATTAACTCTCTTATCGTGTTCTCTCTCGATTGAAACGGAGACGAAATAATTCGTAGAACCTAAAAGACGAGAAAAATCATGAAGAACTAAGTCCATTTTCTCAACTCCCACAAACATTGATTGTCGATTTCCTCCGATAGTTTTTCATGTTTAAAGGAAATTGTCGTTAATTCAGTGATTAGTTTGATTTGCATTTGGAAAGATAGAGACTTAATTAGTTTTCAGTAAGTGTAGCGTTTGCTCGCAAGCACACATTTTGCGTATTTTTTGCCTCTCCATGTAAACTTACCTTCCCATTAAATTGTATCAAATAAATTCCTCAATATAGCGTTTCAAAGTTCTGATAACTGGTTACTTTATGATAGTCGAGAATTATAAACCCTAGGTGTTTTAAAATGAATTGTTTTAAACATATCCATTGTTTTTAGCGGTGAATTTTTATAAAGACGAGCTGTGTACCATTCTAATGGTGCGCTATTGTACACTTCTTTTCTTTCCATAGATGCGCTAAAAGCTGAAAGTTGCGAGTAAAAAAAAAACATTAACTCCAATTGTCTTGGTAATAACCAATGAGATTTGCGGTCATCCATGAATTATAGTCGGTTCCTTTTATTAAAAGATATGCATCTTCACGATCATTAAGGGAGTTACACTGAAATGCTAGAGAAAGATATTTTAGGAGTCTGTGAAACAATAGCCTTAAAGTCTTCATTGGGAGATCATGGTAGATACAGAATAACCACAAAATTTTTTTCATAAATACGGTAGCATTTCTAGACCAACAGCTACAGCAGTTGGAGCAATTTTCCTCTTTTCTTTTCTTCTCTTTTGATTTGTTTTCTTGACTCTGTGGCTTATGTTATTGCACTGACGTGAAGGGAAGGGAATACTTCATATTGTCTCTGACTACTCTCTTCTTTGGATCTTTAGGTTGGCTTTATCGGCTGATATTTTCAATATATCTCCAAGTATTTCCCACCCAATCCAAGATAGAACTGACTAAGGGTAAAGCACAACATCAAAACTGGGTCCGATTCATACCTTAATCCTCAGCAACTCAGCGGTGGTCAACGGTCAGGCATGCGCAAGAAGATCAATTTTATCAGGCCGCTAATTTCCCGTGCAAAATTACAAAGGAAATTATGAAACAACCGCAGTTATGCAAATTATGCGAAGACAAATTTAAACGTGAAATCTGTGAAAGAAAACAAAAATAGGAAAAAGGAAAACTCGAGGCTTTTTGAACACAAAGTTTATTCAGTTATGGGCATCCTGTTGATCTTTCGTTTTGTTTTTTAAAAGGCTTTATTGAAAAATTTTTCTGTTTTCTTTCAAAGTGGAGGTTTCAAAAGTATTGAAAATTATAGCAGTTAAATTAGCAGCTAAAGAAACAAAAAGTGAACTGGTTAGGCTGCCAAAAGCTGCTTCTCTGTTCTTTAAAGTTTGACTTTTAAATATGGCTTCGGCTATGTTTATTTACCGGGACTTTCGAGAAAAGGGCCCCTGGTTCGAATCTTACCTTTCTTCTCGATATCGAAAAACAATCTTTTGACAGTCGTCGTCTTCTTCTAGAAAAGGGTCACAAGTTGTACCTCAAAATTCGATTTTATGGACTTCACCGTCAACCATCTACACGAATGATCTGTCCAAAGTCATTGAGAATGGCACCGTTACCTTGTTTGCTGATGATACAGCCCTACACTGTCCTTCAGCTTTTGGATGGCACACTGTGCTAACCGAAGACCAAGTCAGACTATCACAGTGGCTGTATGAGCAAAAACAGACATTAAATGTTTCAAAATCTTAATGTAGGTGGTCAGACTATCACACTAACACACTAACACACTAACGCACTAACACACTACAATACCTTTGTTAGACTATGCGGTTGTCGCATGGGGAGATTAAAACTATTTGACTCCTGAAGAAATTCCAGATGATACAAAATTAAGCTTCCAAAATCGTACTCAATATGCCAAAAGATTCATCTGCTAACGAGGCGCTCGATCAGCTTGACTGGGCCGGATAACTTGATGAAAAGGAGATTTCTTAGAATGATATTGTTTTATATTTATTGCTTTAAACGGTTTTTATTTTTTGTGGTGTTTTCAATTTCATAGTTTTAAAAACATTCTTAATTACTGTGCAACACTTTAGGTAGAAATAACATCTGTAGGCACCTGACATGTCACTCCTGGGGACAAAACCGGTTTATTTATTTAGGTGCCAATGATTGGAACATCTTATCTACACTGCTGACATTTCGACTTTAAATAGACATTTTAGAAGTACTCATTAAATGTTATCTATGCTTATTAAATAGTGGTCGCAGTGAGCCCACAATACTTGACCACGCCTATAGCTTCAATTTTCAACTTCAATTAAAATTAAAATTTTCAATTATCACTATGTAGGCGTCATTTTTATCATTTCTGTAATTTATTTTACGCAGGGCCCCACAGGAAAAAAAATATTTGTGACGTGGGCTCCCGTTGATATATTTTTATTACCATTTTTTTATAACCACGCTTTCACTATTTTTTTTTTTTTTTGATAGAAAAACGTGTCCTACACTGTGCTAATGACCAAAATATGTTATTTACATATGGCGTGAGTTTTGATTCTGTTTCTATCAAAATATATAGTTTTTTTTAGTTAGTGTATTGGTAATCGCATAAAACCAAGTAAAATTAAGAGTTAATATCATGCGTGTTTTCAGAAGTTGCAGAAATTGCGCGACGAGGGCAATTCATTGTTGAGGGAAAAAACTCATCTCCATAACACTCCCTTTATTTTTAACTTCATTTTATTGATAAAGACTTCTAGGAGGACTAGCTAAGTCACAATCAATTGCGTGAAAACATACAACAGTATTTATAGGTGAAAGTATTACTAGGTGTTAAAGGAATTTTAGTAAACGTCCATCAACCTATGGCAGCCAATCGTGTTGGGCTGCGTGTAACTTTTCTTTAATCTCTAATCTCTAACACAGATTCCAAATTATTACAATGAACGAGGCAATCTTTTCAAGGACAGCTTAACTCAGAGTACAAGATTCCATAATATAAGCCGCCATAATGAAAGTTACAGTTAATTATTTACCAAGTTAAGAAAATGAGTGTCGAAGACCAATTACTCTAAACTCATAATAAAAATGAGATAAGTACGATAAAAAATTAGCACTGAACTTAAAAATAAGTGAACATTTTCTCGCGAAAGACTGACAAGGTGTTAGAGTCCCTTATGTTAGGAGGTAGTTCATTCCATGAGCGACGAAGTGAATTCTTAAAAGTTCCTGTCCAACTAAAAGGGACATTTTCTTGCCTACTAAGTAACTTACTATTATTTATTTACCACTTACAGAAACGACTTTCCTCCCTAAATTTCTTACCGTCATACTTCAGTTCCAGAATAACGAAAACAATATTAGTAAAATACAAATTGTAAAGAACAGTCTAGCTACATCAAAGTACGAATTTCTAACCGAGTAGCTGACTACAAGTTCCTAAGGGGTGTCAGTTGAGATGTCAGTTAACCCTTTTAATCCCTGAGAGTGACCAGCATCTAATTTCTCCTTTCAATGTGACCCATGAATCAAACATTAAGGTCATGAGAATAAAGGAAATGGTAATCAACTAAAGAACCTCTTGATTGTTGAACAAATTCTCTTTGCCAGCACATTAGGAAATGTATAGAGAACAGTATGGAGAATATGCATACTGATGTTAGGGTGAAAAGGGAGAAATGTGAATTCCATATATAAGAAATCTAGCAGAACTAACCGAAAACGAAAGAAACTTATACGAAAATATTTCTAAAAAATCCGGGCACAAAACACGGGCCTGGCGAAAACAATTTTATGATCCGATAGGACAAGATTCGAATTTATCTGAACCGGTTTAAAACAGCTAACAAGCCAACATGTAATTGTGGTAATCTGGTTCAAATAATTGCCGCCCTCTCTTGATTTGGAGTAGCAGCGTCACACTCTGCAACTTAAGAGGAAAGAAAGTCGATTTAAAATTTACACAGCAAAACATGCAGTCCGTTGCTTTGCAAAGTTCATATGACCATGGTGGTATTACTTTAAACCACAAGCCTAGAGAAAGAGGTAATTTTATTTTTCATGCCACTCTCCCTTAGTCCTTACACCTTACTTTTGCAAAATCTTTTTTTTTGTTTTCACTGATTTCGGCTTTTAACTCGCGCGACGGACTTCGAGGAACCGCTTGTAGACTACTGTTGTCATAACAGAGTTTAAGAAACGACGACGGCGACGCAGTGGACAACGTCTGTGTTAAGATACCAATGCAATTCCAGAGTACTTACGACATTGAATCTAAAATTGCTTTATTTTACTCCAAATGTAACCGAATCTGGAATAAAGATGATAATATTAATACAATGATATTTTAGCGAACATACCTTAATTCTCTAAACTTTTTCAAAGCTTCCGTGCAGCGTGCCTCACGAAGAACATCACACAGTTTTTTGGTAGTAGCTTCCTCGCCGAAACTTCTTTTCCACCTCAGTAGACCTTGGTAAAAAGCCTCTTTCACCCCATATGGTTCACGCATGTGATCCATGCAAATATTTTCGATCTCCGACTCCTTGAGACCCAGTTTTCGCAGAACGTCCTTCCATTTAGCACCGATTTCCTCGCGTATGCAGTGGAAATGGTCTTCTGTTGCTGGTTGTCTGTCACTGCCCAGCGAGGATATATCGCAGCTAAAAGATTCTGTTTGATTAACCGCCAAGGAATCTGCTAAAAAAACATTCATCAGACAACATCATTGCTTTTATGTTAATCTCTTTCGTAAATTCGTGGGCAAGCTTTCCCCATTTATTCACCCACGTCGCGTCAATCCTACCACGGAATTGTATTTCTCTCAATTTAACTCCAATATTCTAAAGTAATTTTCAGTTGAGCATCGAAGGTAATCCGCTGTATTTCGCTATGTGATTTTTCTAGAAAATTCGCGCCTCTCTCTCAACCAACTTTACTCTCGGCAAGGATAATCGCTATCAAATTGTTCTTAAGTTACTCGAGTTCCCGTTTTCGTAGATCCCACGAATATCTAGAAATATTCAATCCTGCGTCGTGAATTTTGTTCAAAATGATTCTCAAACCATATAGAAACGCGAGAGAAGCATGTGTAATCCTTCCATAGAGACCATTTTGCCTTAAACTGTATAAGATGTGGGCCTAAGACAGAAAAAAACTTTCAGGTTTTTTACAGTTTAAAGTGGTAAACTGTGGTACTACCTGGGTGGGGGGGGG